ACATTCATCCATCCCATACCTGCCAAGTACTGAGAGTGCTTTTTCTGGATCGCCATGGCAAAATCCCGGGATTTGCCTTGGGTTTTCGGGACATGTAATAATATTTCCAAAAACAACCCTTTTCAACTTTTGATGGCACCAACATTTCGATATTAGATGATTGATGGTGATCATCGGATCACACTTACGCATGTTCAAGACTCAAAACGGAGGTTTTTCGGAGACTGTTCATGGAAGTAGCACTAGTAAATCTACTGGCAAGTACTGGTACTGCAGGCTATGGCGGTCCGGAATCAATAAGGAAAACTACTGGCCTTTCAAGTCATTTGTGCTCCAAGTACAGTATCAAGCTTGTTTCTTGTACAGTGAATTTCGGGATAATCGACAGGAATTTCGGGATATCGGGAGTTCATCCAAAATTGCGGGATAATCCCGAAAAATCGGGATATTTTGCAGGTATGCCATCCATCCATCTATCCATCCATCCATCCATCCATCCATCCATCCACCCATCCATCCTCCCGCCCACCCACCCATCCATCCATCCATCCATCCATCCATCCATCCATCCATCCATCCTCCCGCCCACCCACCCACCCACCCATCCATCCATCCATCCATCCATCCATCCATCCATCCTCCCGCCCACCCACCCACCCATCCATCCATCCATCCACCCGCCCACCCACCCATCCATCCATCCAACCATCCATACATCCATCCATCTATCCATCTATCCAGTGGTCCATCCATCCATCAACCCATCTATCCATCCATCCATCCCTCCATCTATCCGTCCCGTCATCCATCCATCCATCCATCCATCTGTCTATCCATCCATCCATCCACCTATCCAGTGGTCCATCCATCCATCCATCCATCCATCCATCCATCCATCCTTCCATCCTTCCATCCTTCCATCCTTCTATCCTTCCATCCATCCATGCATCCATCCATCAACCCATCCATCAATTCATCAGTCCATCCCTCCATCTCTCCATCCATCCATCCACCCATCCATCCATCCACCCATCCGTCCACCCACCCATCCATCCATCCACCCACCCACCCACTCACCCATCCACCCATCCATCCATCCACCCATCCATCCATCCATCCATCCATCCATCCATCCACCCATCCACCCGTCCATCCATTCATCCATCCATCCATCCATCCCTCAAGTTTGAGGAGGCGCACGTCTGCGCGCTGCACCAGTTCACATCCCAGTGTTTTCAGGTCTAGGGGCTGCACAGCAACCGATGTGGTGGTGACTCGTTTGATCGGATTTTATTAACCAGTGCTGCATATGAATACATTCACAGTCGCTCTGGTATACGTGACTCTTGTACCCTGTTTGGATGAGAAGTACAGCGCTGGCTGGCCGGAGAAATCCAACCTCAGGAATAAAGTAGCGCCGTGTTCGAGTAAACAGGCCGGTATGTGTAGTGCTAGGGCTGCGTAGCGCCCGGTGCTATTTTATTCATGAGGTTGGATTTCTCTGGGCCAGTATTGTACTTTGGTTGTTTTAAAGTACAATTTGCTGTTCTGCCTGGGGTATGTGCCCCGTATCCGAGTTCTATTGCACATTATTGTATTTTTTTTGGAATGATAATTTCAGCTTGCACTTGTTTTCTGTGTAAAGTGGACTATCTAAGTTGAGCCGGGATATTAGAAGTCGTTTTCAAATGTTTTGTTTCTGTTTCCTCTATAGGTTCACAACTCGTACATCACGTTTATTGATGTTGTCACGGAAACATTCCAGACGGAGAACTTCCCCTATGCTGATGTGCCGGTCAACGGACTAGTGGTGGATTTGTCGGAGGAACACGAGACGTGCGGTTGGATCCATCTCTACCAGAGTGGCCAGTACATAAGCGAGATCATCTGTGTGAACCCGGTTAACGGGAACGCCACCAAGTGTTATGATCAAGGTGAGAGTTGGGCAGTGCTGACTGTGTGTTTGTGTGTGTGTGTGTGTGTGTGTGTGGTGTGTGTGTGTGTCCCATATGGTGCAGTGGTATGTGCAGCGATTTCCAATCGATAGATTGCGGGTTCGATTCCCGACGATTATGGTCACACACGTCTTTCTTCTCTTTCTCAGACTCTTCCTGACTTTTCTTTCATTCTCCTGGGTGGTTACCAACAGCCAGTGCATGCCGGAGTATGTGGTGTGATGTGTGTGCGGGAAAAAAAAAAAAAAGAAAAAAAAGAAGAAGGAAAAGACCAAAAATAGGGATTCACTGGCCAGAAAATGTCACTCCAAATAGCTGTATGGTGTAGACCAGGCTGAATAGTGACGGTCAATTCTTCGTCACGGAAACATTCCAGACGGAGAACTTCCCCTATGCTGATGTGCCGGTCAACGGACTGGTGGTGGATTTGTCGGAGGAACACGAGACGTGCGGTTGGATCCATCTCTACCAGAGTGGCCAGTACATAAGCGAGATCATCTGTGTGAACCCGGTTAACGGGAACGCCACCAAGTGTTATGATCAAGGTGAGAGTTGGGCAGTGCTGACTGTGTGTGTGTGTGTGTGTGTGTGTGTGTGTGTGTGTGTGTGTGTGTGTGTGTGTGTATGTGTGTGTCCCATATGGTGCAGTGGTATGTGCAGCGATTTCCAATCGATAGATTGCGGGTTCGATTCCCGACGATTATGGTCACACACGTCTTTCTTCTCTTTCTCAGACTCTTCCTGACTTTTCTTTCATTCTCCAGGGTGGTTACCAACAGCCAGTGCATGCCGGAGTATGTGGTGTGATGTGTGTGCGGGAAAAAAAAAAAAAAAAAAAGGAAAAGACCAAAAATAGGGATTCACTGGCCAGAAAATGTCACTCCAAATAGCTGTATGGTGTAGACCAGGCTGAATAGTGACGGTCAATTCTTCAGCCTTGCAAGCTGTTGAATGGTGTAATCCCAGCACAAGTTGCTATGGCTTCTGCCGTAGCATTGCTATCATCGCCTCCGGCGATGGGCGTCAAAGGTCAAAAGGTGTGTGTGTGCGTGTGTGTGTTGGGGGGCACGCACGTTTGTGTGTGTGTTCGTGTGTGTTTGCGTGCATGTATGTGCGAACAGCAGGGTAGATGTGTGCTTAGAATTACTTCTTCATCAACCACACTGGAAATGGTGGGGTTCATAACGAACTCTTTTTGTACGGTGCGAGATGGCGATGATTTGAAGCGGGCACTGGCTTAGCAAACACGCAGCCATTTGAAACCGTCTTGTGCAATAGAACACAGATTGGCTTCAGATGGGTGCAGTCACTTAGTTGCTGGTCCTAGAGGAGGAAACGTGACGAGACCCATCGAAGACACAGCGATTGCAGTAACATAAATAGTCAGGCCCGCCGGAAGGCAGGCAAAGTTGGTCCGATTTGAGGGGGTCCGGATGATCTCCCCCGGGCATTTTGGAAAATTCCGGTCGGAAATAGCAGAATTTGGCCCTTTCACGAGTTTTGAGAGCCCACTACAGGGAATAATTTTGCATGGATATCAATGTACAATGTATGGCCCACTATGGGAGTATGGCTACATGTACATGTATTGTATGTAATAACACTATGCATGTACAGCACTGTATGTAATAACACTATGCATGCAAGACTAATAATACAGTGATGGCAACTGAAATCCAACCCCCCCCCCCCCCCCCCCCGAGCGCTGGGTTGGCTTTCTAGCGGTCTCTGTTTCGTAGTTTTACCATCCCGTGTTGGGTGTTTGCGATGTGCCGCTCGGGGGGGGGGGGGGGGGGGGGGGGGGGGTCGGGGGGGTCGGATTTCAGCTGCAAGCACTGTGCATGTACATGTACCCAGAATTTTTTTTCCGCCGGTTTTTAGACAAATCCCAGGATGTGACGCGAGCCAGCGTTGGTCCGGTGACCAGCCAGACCGGTTCCGGCGGCCCTGATAGTACTTGAAATAACTAGTAAGATTTACCTTTTGGGCCTATTGCTTTGAACCACAGTCTGGCCTACTGGATCAAATTGAGGCCTACATGTTAATTGTGATCTAACTACACAGAAGACCAAAAATCGATTATGGTTTGGTTTTGACGTGTAGATCAGCAGAGCATTCGGGGGGGGGGGGGGGGGGCGCAGAGAGAAACCTGCACTCCAATTTGCTCTCTTTTGACGACTAGCGAGAAACTGTGTAGGGACGACCACATTCACATTTTCTAATTTCACTCACCAGATTTGGTCTCTTTGGAAAGCTACAGATCTCCTCTCTCCTTATATCGCCACTAAAATAATACTCAACAGGAGCAACAGAATTTCCTTCATGTCTTTTGAGCGCTGCCCTATTGCTCCTGAGCGAGATACTGTACGCACATCCACAAATTTCATCGGTTCTGAAGTTTTACTCGACGTAGAACGTTGATACAGATTTCTGCAGATTCCTGAAGTTCAAGCAATTCATTTGGTCTCCAGTATGCATGCGCTATGCAACCATGAGTCACGGGAGAAGTCCCGTTTGAGCACTGCCGTGCTCGCCACGCACGCAATTTGAAACAAATTCAAGCGTATCCGTGTTTCGCTCTTCGGCGCTCAGTGCTTCTTCATCGCTCTATACCAAATGACACATCGTTGGAAAGCTTATTCTGTCAGCTTTCCAATGAGCCCTCATTCTTGGCGATCGGAGAAAGGGCAATGGAGTTATGACAAATTGAACAGTGATGTGTATGCATTGCACAAACTGGCACAGTCGCACACGAGTGAACTCGTGCTTTGGATTATAGGTCGTTTTTGAACACGAGTTAACTCGTGGTTCGGGATCAAAGAGTTAAACCAGATTTTACTGTATTCAATATGGGCTCAGTATCCGAGTTCCAAATAAATCCTCCATTATGATTGTTTGACACTGTTCGGTCCTCCACCTTCTTCCATCATACGATTAGTAATATTACTACATGTATTAATAGGTCGCGACACTGAGTTATGTCTTGTCTCATGTCACCATCTGTGCATACGCGGTTCGGGCACACGCGCGTGCTCGCGGCTCGCGCGAACTGAACCATGTGAACCGTGAGCAGTACTTTCATCCATATTTGCATGCAACCTGCCCTTATTCATACATGTACTGATAGTGTAGCCAGTGCTGTTGTTAGTTTTCTGTTTCGCAAGTGGAGACAAGTTGTAGTTTGTTTTCCTCTGCTCGAATGATGTGTTTGTTCTTGCAATAAGTCCTTCCGAATAATACCTTTCTCCTTGTCTGAGTCCTGTTCCATCGTGTCTGTTGTGAGAGTCAAGTGACTTTATTAGTGAGGGTTGTGACAGCCCGGACAGCACGAGATTACGAGTCCAGTGATCCGACATTCTGGTCCTTCGAGCCGGATCCTGTTGCGATTCGTCAGGTATGGACACATCGGAACATCAGACATCAGAAGTGGACGACGGAGCGAGCGTTGCTTCTCCTCGTGAGGAAGCTGCTGCTGCCGCCGCCGCTGAGGACACGCTCGGAGAGTCAAGACATTCGAGTGATGTTTCGGTTCTCGAGAAGCTCGTGAGAGATCGAAGCAAATTGAAGAGCAGTTTCACCAGAGTGGCTGGCGAGTTGCAGCGGGAGTTTGCTAAAAGAGCACCAAGTCTGCGGTACCTAGCTAGAGATTTACAAGAAGCTGAGCAACTAGATCAAGAGATTCGGGAGCTGGTTACCAGACACAGGGAAATCTTGGAGTCAAGAGATGACGACCGGGAACTGCTCAAACTAGATGGTTGGGACAGGGCGTACAGGACGCAGCGATCCTTCCTCTCCGATGTAAGCTCATACGTAGAGCGTGAGGAAAGGATGCAGGCTTCAACACGTAGTCCCTCCATTGGTGTTGGCAGAAGCAGTTCCAGGTCAAACTCGAGAGGCACCCTGGACTTGGATGCCATGGAACAAATGTTGATGGTAGCAGAACGTGCGCCGAATTCTGATATCCCTGGTGCCATTGGTCACACTTCGTTGCAGATGAGCAACAAGAGTCCTGTCACTGCAAGTGCTGCTGAAGTCCATGAAAGCAGTCTGGATGGCGTGCCTGCTGGCAATGCTGGTCATTCATCAAGTGGTGCTGGGCACCCAGCCATGCAGACTGTAAGTTCTAGTCTTGCTATTATGAGTGGCAGAAGATCAATGCCTGTGCTTGGTAGGACAACCCCTTCTTTGTCACCTCTACAAGTCAATAGGCCAGGTAGTGTATTGGGTACACTCACTGCATCCAGTAAGTTGGCTGGTACTACTACTAGTAGAAGTCAAGCAAGTGTGACCACCAGGTCAAGGGCACCTCAACTGGCTCTGGGTGTGGGTACACAAAGTGTGAGTGCTGTGCAAGTTGCTCAACAGCATCAAGTATTAGTTTCTGCTGTGAACAGTGGCAGTGTACCGTCAGTACCTGTGCCAGTGGCAGCTCCCTGTGCTCCACCAGTGCTAATGTCCGCACCCACAGCCACCATGCAGCTACCAACAGTGCATCAATCGGTAGCCACAGTTAGCAACACTGTGCCTTTTCCAAGTTATTGGTCAGGCCAGCAAGCATGCACCCAGGCGATGCCACCACTGCAGCCCGCGCTGCTGCAGCAGCCACAGCCGCAGACAGTTGCACCTATTGTTTCAAAACTGCCAATTTTCAATCCAGCAGCTGGACAGCTCAATCCATCGGCCTCATCGTTCAAGCCCATAAGTAGGCCAGCAGTGACCCTGCCTGTAACAGCACCAGTAACTGTTCAGTCGACACAGCTTCCACCATCCTACAAGCCGCCCACCATGCCGGTAGTAATAGAGCAAACTGTGAAGCCCATGGAACTGCCTAAGTTCAGCGGACTGGACCAGGACTACATTCCGTGGCGCCAAAGGTTCATCCGCGTCATCCATGAAAATCCCCGGTACACGAGCGATCACAAACTCGCGAGGCTGCGTGAGGCAGTGGATGGAGGCCGTGCTGCGGAGATTGTGAGAGGGATTCTGGATGGCCCGGACGCCTACAGCCATGTATGGACCGAGCTCGATGCTTGGTACCGTGGTAGCGACAGGCTAATAGAGCACCAGATTCGGGATGTAGTGAGTCAAGCACGTATTACCAGTGACGCAGACTTGAGTGGGCTGCAACGGTACGCCATCAAGCTCCGTACCACTGTCGCCAACCTCCGAGCAAGTGGTGTGAGTCCTGGAGTAGAGCTGTACATAATGGCGTCCGAGAAGGTACCCAAGCGTCTCTTGGTAAAGTATTTCGAGAGGCATGGCCAGGTCAATGACGTCTTCACGTTCTCTGCATGGCTGGTGGAGCACGTCCGCACTCTGAAGCGGGCAGCCGACAGGATTCCCACTGAACGCCCCAAAGACATCAGCAGTCAGGCTACCAGGGAACGATCCACGGCCACACACCGTACGTTTGTTGGGACTCATGACGCCGTCAGCAGCGGTGCCAAGGCATCTTGCAAGAAGTGCAGTGGGCAGCACACCCTAGCCGAATGCAGCAGCTTCAAGGCATTGTCAACTAGCAAGCGTTGGGATTTGGTGAGGTTGC